TGCCACTCACCACCAGCTTCTTTGAAGTCAAGGGGGCCAGATAGACATCTAGAGAAATTGTTGTGGCTGCAATGAAGTCAGTGGGCCTACAGTGAATTGTACCAACTGAAGATCTGATGCATTTTAAGGTCCTAACTCTGCTTTTCATCATGGCTGTAGCCTGGGCATCTGGCATCTTACCATAGCAGAGAAGCAGGCACGTGTTCTTCAGATGCCCCCTAGGAACCTACATAATGAGGAATGTACCCCTCTAGACCCATTTCCTGAGTCTTTCACGGACACACCAACCAGCTTCCCCATCCTTAAATCTATTGCAGGCAGTTCATTCAGAAAGGGGTGGGTGGGGGAATCAATCCTCTATCTCTGGTGCATCTGAGGAGCTGGAAGTGTTTTTTACTCAGATCTATCACACATCATGTAAGTACGTCGGCTTGGATTTTTTCAATCAGCATTTTTCTTATTCCTACAAATGGCACTTTTAGCTGTCATTGTAAGTATAAGAGCAACACTGCTTCAGGCAAGTTAAGCAGCTGTGGTTGCTGGAAGCAAACAATGATGCAGAACTGAGAATTTAAGGCCAGATCCCATTGCACCCATTAGGCGCCTAAGTGTGACCCAGCTAGAGTCTCTGAAAACAGTTAAATGCCAAAGGCGGGAGGGTGAGTGGGTCCTTCTCCCCCATGTTTTTTGTCTTAGTCTTTAAGGCTAAAAGGATGGCATTAAAAAATCTGATGTGTTAACGATTCTTTAGGGACTTAAGCAGAGTGGAATAGGGTGACACTTAGACACTTAATAGGTAAAATAGGATTTGGCCCTTAGTATCCAAATGTTGGAGGTAAAAGACCTGATCAAGCTGATCCTAAAACACTCATTGAACAGCACCACACTCCAGAAATAGCCAAATGGAAATGACTGGAACTCTTTAATGTGGCTCCATATGAGTATCTCTTGTTGCCCAGTGTATGGAGAGATCTTACAGCAGGCTCTGAGAAAGGTTTGTCCTCTGGTGCCTCAGCTACAAGGTAAGTGTTAGGATAACAGCAGCAATGGAAATAGAGCACCACAGATCAGGGCCCTGAAATTTAAAGGGAAGTCCTACACAGGCTGTTGGCTGGAGAGGGAGAGAAGCTATGGTTAGTGATTTTGCAGTTTAAACAGAGTGTTACACTAACTCCCAGCCAAACAGATTTCATTGACATTCAGGCTGGAAGGGACCTCAGAGGATCATCGAGTCCAGCCCCC